ATGCTGATCAGGCTTAGTCTTTGGGTTCAAGGGCCAGCCTCTGGAGTGGTCCATGTCAGTTGGTCCTCAGGACCCCATGTGTGCAGCACCATACAGGCTGTGTAAATAGCATGGTGATGTTCCACGTTTCACAACAATTATTCCTACATTGCTTCTAGGCCGTTTGTGCTTCTTTTTTCTAACCTAGGAATTCGGTCCCCATGGGGAGAGAGCCTTGGATAGGGTTAGGGTTCCGTCTAAGAGAGTTGCCAGGGCAGAAGCAACGCCAGTCCTGTGTTCTCCCTGGAGGGCTGAAAATAGGTCCCAGACACAGGTATGGGTCAGGTATAGAGTTAAGGTTAGAGTTAGGGTTAGGTTTGCAGTTGGGGCTAGGATTATGGTTAGTTCCCAGGAGGCTCCAAGCACTGAACCCCCAGCAGTCCAGTGTTCTCCCTGAAGGGCTGAGTTGAGGGTGCATGGGAGGTTGCCAACCAACCTCAGGTCCTCAGGACCCCTCCATCCAGGCCTTCTAAATGGCATGGTGATGTTCCATGTTCCATGCTGATTAACCCTGCACTGCTTCATGGCCCCATGTGCCTGGTGTTCTCATATCTAGGAATTCGGTGTCCATGAAGAGAGAGACTTGGTTAGGGTTCTGTCTAGGGGAGTCGCCAGAGCAGAAGCAACACCAGTGCCTTGATCTCCCTGGAGGGCCGGCATGAGGGTCCATGTGCAGGTGCGGGTCGGGTGTAGGATTATGGTTAGAATTGGGGTTAGGGTTAGTTCCCAGGACTTTCCAAGCACTGAACTCCAGCAGTGCAGTGGTCTTCCTAGAGGGCTAACTTGAGGGTCCTTGGGAGGGTGCCAGTCTTTGGGTTCAAGGGCTAACTTGTGGTGTGGTCACTGCTTCATCTGGGTTTTGGAAATGGCATGGTTGTTTTCCACGTTCCACACCGTTAATCCTCCACCGCTTCTGGGACCCATGTGCCTGGTGTTCTCAAACCTAGGAAATCAGTCCCCATGGGGAGAGAGCCTTGGCTAAGATTAGGGTTCCATTCAGGGGAGGCACCAGGGCAGAAGTGACAGCAGTCCCATGGCCTACCTGGAGAGGGCAGAAATGAGGGTCCCTGTGAGGGTGCAGGTCAGCAGTAGGCTTACCGTTAGATCCCAGGAGGTTCCAGGCACTGAAGCTGAGCCGTGCAGTAGTCTCCCCAGAAGGCTGAGTTGAAGGCACATGGGAGGGTGCCGATCAGGTTTATTCTTTGGGTTCAAGGGCCTGCTTCTTGTGCGGTCCATGCTTTAGTTGGTCCTCAGGATCCCCCTTGTCCAGCTCCATCTGGGATTTGGAAATGGACTGGTGATGTTCCACGTTCCACGCCGATTAATCCTGGGCTGCTTCTGTGACTTCATGTGCCTGGTATTCTCAGACCTAGGAATTCAGTGTCCATGGGGAGAGAGACTTGGCTAGGGTTAGGGTTCCATCTAAAGGAGTTTCCAGGCAGAAGCAACACCATTCCCATGATCTCCCTGAAGGGCTGAAATGAGGGTCCATGTGTGGGTTCCAGTCAGGTGTAGGATTACAGTTAGGGTTAGGGTTAGGTATAGGTTTCAGGTTAGGGTTAGGGTTGGATTCCAGGAGGCTCCAGGCCCTGAACCCTAGCAGTGCAGTGGTGTCCCCAGAGGGCTGATTGGAGGGTGTATGGGAGGCTGCCAACCAGTCTTAGTCTTTGTGTTCTAGGGCCATCCTCCTCCTGGGGCCATGTTGCAGTTGGGCCTCGGGATACTCATTGTGCAACTCCATCCTGGGCTTGGAAATGGCATGGTGATGTTCCACTTCCCACACCAATTAATCCTGCACCTATCTGGGCTCCATGTGCCTGGTATTCTCAGACCTAGGAATTTGGTCCCCAAGGGGAGAGAGCCTTGGCTAGGGTTAGGGTTCCATCCAGGGCAGTTGCCAGGGCAGAAGTGGCACCAGTCCCGTGATCTCCCTGGAGAGTTGAAATGAGGGTCCATACGCAGGTGCGGGTCAGGTGTAGGGTTAGCGTTAGAGTTGGGGTTAGGTTTAGGGTTAGGGTTAGTTCCCAGGACCTTCCAGGGGCTGAACCCCCAGCAGAGTAGCAGTCTCAGTGGAGGGCTGAGTTGATGGCACATGGGTGGGTGCTGGTCAAGCTCAGTGTTTGCGTTCATCAGCCAGCCTCCTTAGTGGGCCAGGCTATGGTTGGGCCTCAGGACACCCCTTGTGCAGCTACATTTGTGCTTTGTTAAATGCCATGGTGATGTTCCACGTTCTGTGCCGATTAATCTTGCTACGCTTCTGGGCCCCATGTCCCTGGTGTTCTCAGACCTAGGAAATCAGTTTCATTGGGAGAGAGCCTTGTCTAGGGTCAGGGTTTGTTTGGTCCAGGATGTCTCCAGAGCTGAAGTGACACCAGTTCTGTGATGTCCCTGGAGGGCTGAAATGAAGGTCATGCTTGGGTTTGGGTCAGATGGAGGGTTAGGGTTACAGGTAGAGTTAGGGTTAGAACCCAGGAGGTTCCAGGCACTGAACCTCCATTAATGCAGTGATTTACCTTAAGGGCAAAGTTGAGGGTGCTTGGGAGGTTGCTGAGCAGGCTTTGTCTTTGCGTTCCAGGGCCAGCTTGTGGTGTGTTCCATGCTTCAGCTGGCCTCAGGACCCCCCTTGTGCAGCTCCATCCAAGCTTTGGAAATGGCATGGTTATCTTCCATGTTCCATGACAGTTAACCCTTTAGAGTCCTGCTCCGGCTGGTCCAGGGGTCCCTGAAGGATGGATGGTGTCAGCGAGGGAGGGATGAGAGGCACAAGGTTCTTTCTGGTCACCAGCCAGGCCTCTCTGCACTGTCTGAGACTCAACTGTATTTTATGATTTAGTGTTTGGGGGACGGCACAGAAGTGACATTCTGATGATAAATTCTTTTATCAGTACAAACTTTCCAGAACATTGATATGCAAAAGGGTATGGGGAACAGCCCAGAGATGGCATTAGCATAGTAAAGGCAAAAGTTAGTTCTTTGTGTGAGTAGGAGTCAATAGCCTGTTTATCACTTAATGGGAGGTATTAAGAAAAGCAGGTCTTCCAGGAATGCAGTGTTGCTCCCATAACCACAAATGATGTTTCTACAGTAAGTTCCTTCACAAAGTGCCATTGGCATATCAAGGCCAGAATAAGTCACTCCTAATACCAATCAACAAGGTGTCTTGGGGGTTAGTGCTCAAGCAGAAACAATTGGGTGGGAGTGGATATTGGTAGCCATTGGACGGTAAGAGTCTGTGCAATTTACCTTAACCTCACAAGGAGTTTTTTCTCAACTTATGAGTTCAGAGACTGCTCCCAACACTGGGACCCATGTGCCTTGTCTTCTCAGAGTGAAGAAATCAGTCCCCATGGAGAAAGAGCCTTGGCTAAGGTTAGGGTTCCAACCAGGAGAGTCACCAGGGCAGAAGCAACACCAGTCCCATGATCTCCCTGGAGGTCTGAAGTGAGGGCCCATGTGTGGGTGTAGGTCGGGTATATGGTTAAGGTCAGGGTTAGGGTTAAGGTAGGGTTTGATCCCAGTAGGGTTAGGGTTAAGGTAGGGTTTGATCCCAGTAGGTTCTGTGAAGACTAAGCATGTTTCCTTTGGGAACTTATCACATAGAGAGAACTGGGAAGACTAAGCATGTTTATCTTATAACCAAATTATAATCACACAAGTACATGATCAATTAACATTTTGTAATAGTTTGTTGTCAAGTTGGTTTCCATATAACACCCAGTGCTCATCCCCACAAGTGCCCTCCTCCATGCCCATCACCCGCCTTCCCATCCCCCCCACCCCCCATCAGTTCTCAGTTTGTTCTCAGCATTCAAGAGTGTCTCATGGTTTGCCTCCCTCCCTCTCCCCCACTATTTCCCCCCTTCTTCTCCCCCACGGTCCTCCGTTAAGTTCCTCCTAATCCTCCTATACGTGCAAAGATATGATATTTGTCCTTCTCTGCCTGACTTATTTCGCTCAGCATAACACCCTCAAGGTCCATCCATGTTGCTACACGTGGCCAGATTTCATTCTTTCTCATTGCCATGCACTATTCCATCGTATAGACGAACCACTTCTTCTTGATCCATTCGTCCGTTGATGGACACTTTGGCTCTTTCCATGTTTTAGCTATTGTGGAGAGTGCTGCTATGAACATTGGGGTACATGTGCTCCTATGCATAAGCACTCCTGTATCCCTTGGGTAAATTCCTAGCAGTGCTACTGCTGGGTCAAAGGGGAGTTCTATTATTTTTTTTATTTTAATAATCTCCAACTGTTTTCCAGAGGGGCTGTACCAGTTTATATTCCCACCAACAGTGTAGGAGGGTGCCCGTGTCTCCACATCCTCGCCAGCATCTAGAGTCCTCTGATTTGCTCATTTTGGCCACTTTAACTAGTGTGAGGTGGTATCTCAGTGTGGTTTTGATTTGTATTTCCCTGATGTGGAGGGATGTAAGGGTTAGGGTCAGGGTAGAGTCAGGGGTCAATGTTGGGTTAGGGTTTAGGGTTAGGGTTTACGGGTTAGGGTTAGGGTTTAGGGTTAGGGGTTAGGGTTAGGGATTAGTGGTTAGGGGCTAGGGTTAGGGGTTAGGGTTAGGGTTGGGGTTGGGGTTAGGGTTAGGGTTAGGGTTAAGGTTGGGGTTGGGGTTAGCGTTAGGGTTAGATCCCTGGAGGCTCAATGTGCTGAATTCCCAGCAGTGCTGTGTTTGACCTGGAGGGCTGAGTTGGGTGCTCATGGGAGGTTGCCGGCCAGGGTTAGTGTTGGGTTTGAGGTCACACCTCCTCTGTGTGCCCAGACACGGTAGGGTCCCAGGACGCCACATGTGCAGCTGTTCATGGTCTTTGATAATGTCATGGTCATGTTCCATGTTCCTTGTTGGTGAAGCCTCACAGATTCTGGGTCCCTTGTTAGTAGTGTTCTCAGCTTAAGTCATCATGGGCACAGAACCTTGCCCAGGGGTAGCGTTCCTTTTCGGGGAGCCACCAGGGAAGAAGCGGCACCAGTCCCATGATCTTCCCGGAGGGGTGAAATGAGAACACATGAGCAGGTGTGGGTTCGATGTAGGGTTTATGTTTAGAGGCAGGACTACCGGTAGGGGTAGGGTTAAGGTTAGATGTAGGGTTGTGTTAGAGTTAGGCTTATATTCCAGGTGTCTCCAGACACTAAACCCCCAGTAGTGCAGGGGTCTCCCCGGAGGCCTGAATTGAGGGCCTTTGGGAGGGTGCAGGTCAGCCTTTGGCTTTGGCTTCTAAGACCGGTGTCCTCTTTGGGGTAGGTTACAGGAGGGCCTCAGTAGATCCCTCATGCAGCTGCATCCGTGTTTTGGGAAAGGCATGGTATGTTTCTTGTGCCGTGCCGAGTCATTCTGCACCACTTTTGGGACCCAGGTGCATGGTTTTCTCAGACTGAGGAATTGAGCCCACATGGGAAAGAGTCTTGGCTAAGGTTAGGCTTCTGTCCAAGGGAGTCACCAGGGCAGGAGCGATACCAGACCCTTGATCTCCTTGGAGGGCTGAAACGAGGGCATTCAACGGGGCCTGCCCAGGTGTAGGATTCCAGTGAGCATTAGGGGTAGGGCTAGGGTAAGAGTTAGGGTTAGGGCTAGAGTAAGATCCTAGGACCCTCCAGGAACGGATCCTCCAGCAGTGCAGTGGTTCACCCAGTGGGCTGAGTTGAGGGTGCATGGGAAGGTGCCAGCCAGGCTTAGTGTTTTGGTTGAAGGGCTAGCCTCCTCTGTGGGCTCGGACATGGTTGGGCCACAGGACTCCCCTGTGCAGCTGTTTCTGGGAGTTGGGAATGTCATGGTGATGTTCCAAGTTCCATGCTGATGAAGCCTGCAGCGCCTCTGGGCCCCATGTCAGCAGTGTTCTCAGCCCTAGGACTTGGGCCCCTGTGGGACAGAGCCTTGGCTAGGGTTAGGGTTCTGTCCAGGGGGGTTGCCTGGGCAGAAGCGACACTAGCCCCGTGATCTCCCTGGAGGGTTGAAGTGAGGTCGCATGCACAGGTCTGGGTCAGCTAAAGGTTAATGGTTAAGCGAGGGTTATTTTTAGGGTGAGGGTTAGCTTTATGTTTGGTCTTATTGTTAGGTTTGGAACCCAAGAGGCTTAAGGCGCTGAATCTCTAGCAGCGCACTGCTCCACCAGGGGACTGAGTTGAGGGCGCATGTGACTGTGACAGTCTGACTTAGGCTTTGGGTTCCAATACCAGCCTTATCTTTAGGCTAGGTTAGAGTTGGTCCTGAGGACATGACTAAAGCAGCTCCATCCGGGCTTGGAAATGGCACGGTGATGTTCCATGTTCCATGTCGAGTAATTGTGCAGTGCTTCTGGGACCCATTTTCTGGTTTTCTGAGACCTAGGAAGGGGGTTACCAAGGGGAGCGAGCCTTGCCTAGGATTAGGGTTCCATCCAGGGGCGTCACCAGGGCAGAAGTGACACCAGCCCTGTGATCTCCCTTGGTGTCTGAAATGAGGGCCCCTGCACGGGTGCAGCTCAGGTGCAGGGTCACGTTTAGAGTGTGGACATAGGGGTAGGGTTAGGATTAGGTTTAGGGTTAGGGTTAGAGTAAGATTTTAGGATGCTCCAGGAACTGATCACCATCAGTGCAATGGTCTCCCCGGAGGGCTGAGTTGAGGGCATGGTGCAAGTTGCCAGTCCTGCTTAGTTTTTTAGTTGAAGTTCCAGCCTCCTCTGTGGGCCAGGCTACTCTTGTGTCTCAGGACACCCCTTGTCAGTTCCATCCCGACTTTGTTAATGTCATTTTGATACTCCAGGTCCTATGCTTATTAACCTTGCACCTCTTCAGGGCCCAATCTGGTTTTCTCACACTTAGGAATTGGGTTCCCATGGGGATAGAGCCTTGGTTAGAGTTAGGGTTCCATCCAGGGGAGCGCCAGTGCAGAAGTGACACCAGCCCTGTGATCTCCCTGGAGGTCTGAAATGAGGGTGCATGTGCCAGTGTGGGTCAACTGTAAGTTTATGGTTAGAGTGAGTGTTAGGTTTAGGTTTAGGGTTAGCCTTCGGGTTAGGCTTAATGTTCAGTTTGGACCCCAGGTGACTCCAGGCGCTGAAATCGCAGCAGTGCTTTCCTCTACCCTTAGGGCTGAGTTGAGGGCGCATGGGAGAATGCCATCTGGCTTAGACTTTGGGTTCCAAGGCAAGCCTTCTCCTTGGACTAGTTTACACTTGGACCTAAGGACACCCCTAATGCAGCTCCATCCGGGCTTGGAAAAGGCACGGTGATCCTCGAAATTCCATGCCAAATCATTCTGCACCACTTCTGGGCCCCATGTCTCTGTTTTTATGAGACCAAGAAATTGATTCCCCATGAGAGACAGCCTGGCTAGGGTTACGGTTCCATCCAGGGGAGTCGCCAGGGCAGAAATGATACAATCCCCGTGATCTCCCTGGAGGGCTGAAAAGAGGACCCACACAGGCATGTGGCTTACGTGTAGTGTCACGTTTAGAGTGAGTGCTAGGTGTACAATTACAGTTAGATTTACGGGTTAGGGTTAGTGTAAGATCCCAAAACAATCCAGGATCTAATCAGCCAGCAGTGCAGTGATTTCCTCATACGGTTGTGTTGAGGGCACAAGGGACGTTGGCGATCATGCTTAGTGTTTGGGTTCAAGGCCCAGCCTCCTCTGTGGGTAAGGCTTTGGTGGCGCCTCACACCACCCCTTCTGCAGCTCGATCCAGGCTTTGTTAATGTCATGGTATTGTTCCACGTTCCATGCTGATTAAGTCTCACCACTTCTGTTTTTCTCAGACCTGGGCATTGGGTCTCCATGGGGAGAGAGCCTTGACAAGGGCCAGGGTTCCCTCCAGTGGTGTACCCAAGGTAGAATTAACACCAATACCATGATCTTCCTGGAAGTCTGAAATGAGGGCCCATGCACGGGTGCAGTTCACATGCAGGGTCACGTTTAGAGTGAAGGTTAGGGGTAAGGTTAGGGTTAGGTTTAGGTTTAGGGTTAATATGAGAGTAAGATCTAGGAAATGATCACTCAGCAGTGCAGTGTTCTCCCCGGAGGGGTGAGTCGAGGGCACATGGGAAGTTGCTGGTCAGGCTTAGTATTTGGGTTCAAGCTCTGCCTCCTCTCGGGCCAGGCTACTGTTGCGCCTCAGGACACCCCTTGTTCACCTCAATTCACGTCATGGTGATGTTCCATATGGATTAAGCATGTATTGCTTCTGGGCCCCATGTCCCTCGTTTTCTGAGACTAAGAAATTGGGTCCCAAAGAGGAGAGAGCCTTGGCTAGGGTAAGGGTTCCATCCAGAGAAGTTGCCAGGGCAGAAGCGACTCCAGCCCCATGATCTACCTGGGGGCCTGCGATGAGGGCCCATACTCGGGTGCTAGTCAGGTGTAGGGTTTCGTTTTGAGTGAGGGTTATGTGTATGGTTAGGGTTATGTTTAGGGTTAGGGTTAGCATTAGAGTAAGTTCCCAGGACAATCCAGAATCTAATCAGCCACCCATGCATTATGCCTCTGAGGAATGAGTTGAGCGAGCACGGGGAGTTGCCAGTCAGGAGCAGTGTTTGTGTTCAAGGCCCATCCTCCTCTGTTTCCCAGAGTACCGTTGTGCCTCAGGACACCCCTTGTGCACCTCAATCCTGCCTTTATTAATGTCTTGGTGATGTTCCATGTTCCTTGCTGATTAAGCCTGCACCGTTTCTGGGCCCATGGTGTTCTTAGACCTAGGAATTGTATCCCCATAAGAGCACCTTGGCTAGGGTTAGGGTTCCATCAAAGAGAGTCACCATGGCAGAAGGGACACCAGACTGGTGATCTCCCTGGAGGGCTGAAGTGAGGATGTATTCGCGGTTGCGTGTCAGCTGTAAGGTTATGTTTAGAGTGAGGGTCAGTGTTAGGCTTAAGGTTAGGGTTCAATCCTAGGAGGCTCCAGGCACTGAACCCCCAGCAGTTCAGTGCTCTACCTGGTCAGCTGAGTTGAGGGCGCATGGGAGGATGCCCCTTTGGCTTAGTCTTTGGGTTCCAAAGTCAGCAGTCTCTTTGGGTTAGAGTTGGGCCTCAGGACATCCTTAATGCAACTCCACCCATGCTTGGAAATGGCATGGTGATGTTCTATGTTGTATGCTGTGTAATCGTGCACTGCTTCTGGTCCCATTGTCCCTAGTTTTCTGAGACCTAGGAAGTGGGTCCCCACAGGGAGAGAGAGGCTTGGCTAGGGTTTGGGTTCCAGGGGAGTCACCAGGGCAGAAGTGGTGCCAGCCCCATGATGTTCGTAGAGGTCTGAAATGAGGGCCCATGGAGCTCAGGTGTAGGGTCACGTTTAGAATGAGGTTTAGGTATAAGTTTCGGGTTCGGGTTAGAGTAAGGTCCCAGGATGACTCAGGATCTAATCAGCCAGCAGTGCAGTGATCTCCCCGAAGGGCTGAGTTGAGGGCACAGGAGATGGTGCCAGCCAGGCTTAGTGTTTGGGTTCAAGGCCCAGCCTCCTCTCATTTTCTTTAGTGATATGTTTTGATTTATTTCTCCTTATTCTTTGCATATTTATTTGTCATTTTTGATATATGGTCACCATTAGGCTTTTATATAATTCATTGCTTTTAGAACTTTTTATTAAATAATGGTTATTTACCTTTGAACCCCTTATTTTCTCATGTTTTGGTACATGTTATTATGTTTTATATCCATTTTCGTCAATTTCTTGACTGAATTTTTACAGAAATATTTATTTTTAGTGGCTTTGAGTTTTCTACCTCTCTTTTGCCGCTTTTGGTCTCTTTTTTCCGCTCAAAGAGTTCCTCTTAATATTTCTTACTGGACTGATTTAGTGGTCAAATTCCTTTAGGTTTTTTTGGAAACTATATCTGCTCCTATTCTTAATGACAGTCTTGCTGCATAGAGTATTCTTGGTTGATGAATTTTCCATTCAGCACTTTGAATAGGTCATGTCACTTGCTTCTGGCTTGCCAAGATTCTATTGACAAGTCTGTAGCTGTTCTTTGTTGGCTGGATCTCTGCACCAGGACATCCAAGAGTTCGAGGTTATGCACAGAGTGCATCGGTGGCTGGGGACATGTGGCTGGGTGAGACGTAGGAAGGTGGCTGGCAGTGCGCAGCTGGGTGTGGTGCAGATGTGCATAACGTGCTGTGGCAGCTTTGCATGCAGCAGGCTGGACGGGGTTCCCATGTAGTTTTAACAAAGTCTGCACTGAGCCCAGCGCTGAGGCCAGCAGGCTTCGAGTGGGTGAGTCCCCCAGAGATCTCTTGGGACAGCCACACTGCTAGTGGGTTAGGTAGCAAGGGTCTGTGCATCCCAACACCCTGGTAGGTGCTTCTGTGCTTATTCTGTGGAGTGGGGTAGAAAAGTGGTGACTGTGAGCTCCCTCATCGTTTGAGAAGTCACCCAACCACTCAGAAATTAGCATGAACACATCTGTCTCCTGTGGCCTCTGGCATAGTGTAAACTGCCATGTTTACATTGCCTCTCCACACAGGCAGTGTCCTGGCTATCACTCACCCTCCTGGATCACCCAGTGCTGAGTCAGCTGACCTCCTAAGCTCCAGGATCCAAACTCAAGGAATTCAGCCCTTCTGGTTTTGAAAGCCAAATGTCAAGGGGATTAGTCTTCCCTGTTTGAGCTCCCTGGGGTCAGGGCTCATTTTCTCTGCCTTCTCTGCAGGCAGCTGTCTTCCTTTCTGACCTTCCTAACCGTTCAGGTGCAGCTTCTCTCTATTGAGTTGTGGAGTCTGTTCTGCTAGTCTTTGGATCTCTGTCTTACGGACTTGGATGTGAATGTTATGTAGTTGAAAACATGGGACAGGGTGAGCTCAGGGTCCTCTTACTCTGCTATTATAAATTTTTTTAATGTCTTAATTTTTTGGATTTTTAATAAGTGGTTAGACTCCTATCATCCATGCACTTTAGGATTAGAAAGGAACTCTCCCACATTTTATTCTAGTATTTAATGTTTTGAAACTATATTTAATGAGGTATAATTTACATAAATAGCCTTAAAGGGTATCCTTTGATGACACTTGATCTCATGGATATAACCCCATGAAGTCATACAGTTTATTTCTAAACCTTAAATCATGATCTGTTTGTGCGTAATGTTAATATTTCTCTTGCAGTAAGGAATGAATTTTTTTTTTTTTTTACGTTTTCAGATGTTGTCCAGGTGTCTGAATGCCTCCATTGGGGTACCTCCATTTCCAATAGTCTATTTCCTGTGAGTATTGCATCCATTCTACTTTTGGACTTTATCCTCTACTATATCACTCTGTTCATATAATTTTGTTGTGCTACTTTAAGGATGCTTGTTTCATAATTGAATTTTCACTAAATGGCACGAGCTGCAGTTCCAATTATGACATAAAACACGGGCTTCCTGCATTAGGCATTCAGGAGTAAGTTAGATATCCTCGGTACTTGAGCTGAGAATGTCACTCTGTCTTTTTGCCAGCCCTCTTTGCCACCATCAGAGATAAGAATCCCCTTTTGTTCACACAGCTATGAAGGTTAAGCCAGTTGAGAAAATTCCATTTTCTTCCCTTCCCTTCCTTTCTTCTCTGAAACTCCCTGTTGCTACCTTCTGCCTGTCCCTGTCTCTGACTTAATCCCCCAGGCCCGCTGATCCACTCCAGCCAATGTCAGGGTGTCCTCCAGCTGCTGGCCTGTGTCCAGCTATCCCTCAGTGAGGAACCTGGAGGAGGATTATGGAGTTCACAGGACCGATGAAGACATCTCTGGTCCGTAGAGCCCTCCTGCACATGGTGCTGCGTGGGGAGAGCTGGCCTCCTGAGCCAGAGTCTGACCCCATGTGTGGCCTCCTCACACACGCCATCTCCCACAGTCACTGCTGGTCCCTCCTCCTTACCCACCATTAGAAGTCAGCCATATCCTAGAGACAGACACCTGTCTGTCTGACCCTGAGGCACCAGGGAGTCAGTGAATATTTCTCTGATAAATGAGCACAAACACCCCATAAATCTAGATATAAGAAGTTCCCGCCACCCCATGAAACTCCCTTGGGCTCCCCTGCACAAAGGGTGATCTCTCTACTATCCTCCATCACCACCATTTCTGTCAGTTTGTTTCCTGTGTGTACAGAAACCCCACTGTCTGCAGCGATGGGGAGTGAGGAGACTAGGTCCTTCTAGAAGCAGGTGCTGACACAGAGACAGAACAGTGGAGGGGACAGGGTGTGTAGGGAAAGCATTCAGGCAGAGCTGACACACCATTTAAAAATTATATAATCACCTTAGTCGGTCACCTTGCACAGTCCTCTTCAAATTTCAAAATCAGTGAGATTTAAGAGATTTTGGTTAATTTCCCTATGATCTTATGTTTTTCTACATGGATTCTGTCTTCTGTACTTTATCTGTGGCCTCAGATGAACACTTTCATGTGTGGCTGCATGTAATGTTTAATGATTGTGTTTAGCTCTCAGATGTAGATCTCTGAATTATAATTCTCATAATTATATTTTCTTTGTCTGGTAGAGCATGAATTTTAATAGAAAAATGAGAGTCTCTGTCTTATCGTTTCAAACAGCAATTCCTGGGCTGAGGTGTTAACAGTCTTCATTGAATGAATTTCCATGAACATCTTTTTTTGATGATCATTGTGTGCAGATATCTTAATTGAAACTGTGAGAAGGTGAGTGAATACTTCCCAGAAATTTTGCAGATGTTCTATGTGTTTAATGTATTCTTTAATAATGTTCTTGACACAAATATTACCCCTATTTCACAGCTGAGGCTCTGAGTAGGTCTCACTGAGAACTGGTATGACGGCTGAGACAGCAGGAACATGGGCAAAGACTAGGGATATTGTGAGAGAAGTTTGAGGAGATGGAAAGGGTGATGAAAGGGGTCCATCAGGGGTGGCTTCTGGCCAATCCTGAATTGTAGGTTATCTCAGGCGGAAGGCCAATGCAAGCACTCAGCTGATCTAGATCTTGTCTCACTGAGGGATATGAACTTGGGCAGACAAGCATTTCCATAAGACCAAGTTAAATTTCCCATATCTCCAGGGCATTTCCCCCCCACAAATATCTAGAACCTTCAGAACACCCCAGGACACAATCTTTTTAGATGATTATCTAGGTGCACTTT